ATCTAAACCCCCGTGGCGTGCGGCTACGCTCGGACACGCCTCCTCTAATGATCACTGGCGCCCGGTGTGGGGTGAAGAGTGATTAAAGCGAGATGAAATGAATAAACATTGGCGTTGGAGGTGGAATGTAGAGCAGGATGTTGAGTGACGGTTGATTGTTGCTCTTCTCTCCTTGCTTTACCCAATAAGGGGGGCATATGGTGTAGAAGTATCCAGGACTACCTACAGAGGTGGCTTGGGAATCTGATTCCTAAGTCAGATTTGACGCCAGATCCGTTACTTTACACTACAAAACTATGTGTAGTTGGCGAGACATCTCTTCGAGGCCTACAAGTGTTAATAGCTCTCAAATCATGTTATATGTCCCGATTGTTGTTGCTTGACTCTGCCAAACCTTAACTCTTACATTCTATCCCAATATCCATACTTACACCCAACTCAGTATGCTCTCCATCACTACCATAATACTAAAGAATAATCTAAGTATTTTATAATGGAATTTAGTAGTAAAAACACAAACAAAGTAGACTGGATCAGTATCGACTATTCAGGGACATATCACATCCAGTGGCGGTCAGTGCAGTTTAAGATGAGGGAGGATTATTCTTTTTTTTATGAGCATGGACTTATTTCTATTACAGCAAATTGGATGACTGTCATTCATATTCCATTCACCTAGTTCAATGTAACGTGGATAGGTTTAGGCTACTACATGATAATCTAATTTTCCCTGTACCCATCATGAGGTTGCTACAACCTAGCCTGTTGATAAAAGTTTACAAATGTAGGTGCATAGGTCGAGATCATTTTTAGTAATCAAGGTGACAGACAGTTACAAATTCAATACCGCCTTGCACACCCTTGTCTGCATTTAGCTGATCTAGGATGTAATCATTAGTCCAACAGTTGCAAATTAGAGTTTCTATTGGACAAATTCAGGTATGTTTATCCCTGTTTCGTTTTGTTTGCTTCTGGCAGAATGAATACACCCCGATCACATACAAACACAGTTAACTTAATAACAGCCACATAAAAACAGCATGATCACTTTGCTCGTTGTATATAATTCCTTCTCACAACTATCTACGCCCTCTCCTCCTCTCACCTTTTCCCTTCACTTGTGGACTTCAGTGCACAACACATCAGCTGTCTGTGACCAGGTGAAAAAACCTTTCCAAGACAAACCTTCATATCATGACCACTAACCGCTACACAAAGCCTACATCGTTGTCATGTCATAGTTAACTAGAACTAACGAGTTAGTAAACCCACTACAATCATGCAGTACAGTGTACAGTCAGTTACACCGGCGGGCCCCGGTGGCAATAAATTAATAAAACCAAAAGCTTACCTTGACTTGGAAGAGTTCCAGTGTTGGATAACCATAGCCAGCTAGCTAACATAGCATCCCTCTCTGTTTGAGCCGGGTGTTTGAATAGGCTAAACTAGCTAGCTGCATTTGCTAGCTAAGTGAAAGTTTAAAAAAATACAGCCAAATATAGCTAGTTCTCTCTCTCGCTTGCTTCTCCTTAATTTTGGAAGAAATTAATTAGTTCAAAACTGTTCAACTATTGTCTTTCTCTCTCTTTGAGTCAACTACTCACCACATTTGATGCACTGCACTGCAGTGCTAGCTAGCTGTAGCTTATGCTTTCAGTACTAGATTCATTCTCTGATCCTTTGATTGGGTGGACAACATGTCAGTTCATGCTACAAGAGCTCTGATAGGTTGGAGGACGTCCTCCGGAAGTTGTCATAATTACTGTGTAAGTCTATTGAAGGGGGTGAGAACCATGAGCCTCCTAGGTTTGGTATTGAAGTCAATGTACCCAGAGGAGGACAGAAGCTAGCTGTCCTCCGGCTACACCATGGTGCTACCCTACAGAGTGCTGCTGAGGATACTGTAGACCTGCATTGCAAAACAGTGTGTTTTAATCAATTATTTGGTGACGTGAATATATTTAGTATAGTTTTATCTAAAAAGGATAACTTTTTTAATGTTTCACTATTGTTATGAAATTCACTGAGGAGGATGGTCCCCCCCATCCGAGATTTAGAAAGTGACACCCTGGGAGAAGTTAGCTAAGCCAGCAGGATCAAGTCAGGGACTTGTGTTTAAAAGTAGCAACAACAGCAGGTAATCAGAGGACAAAACTTTCACAACAATACTTTGAGATTCAAAAGGTTTGATGGTTTGGTGGATGACAAACAGTTATTTAGGTCCAAACTATTTCTGACATTACAACATTAGGAATGGAACCAATACTTGCTGTACAGTACATCCATAATGACCAATGAGGTCCTTCAACACTCAATTTCTACTCCTAAATATTAGCTTTGCTTGGAACCAGCATCTAGTGAGAAAACAGACTGAAGAAAGTAGGGTTGTTCTCACTCTCTGTCCTTAGAGAAGAAACCAAACATCAAGTGCTAGCTAGAGGCTACTCACTCTGCCGGCTGCTGGGTAATGGCTGTCTCCTGCCACCCCACATCCATCGCCGACACGTCAACACCAGGGTTAGTACCCATCTTCTCTATCTTCTCTGCCTGTGCTCCATCACCACCCTCCATGACGCCCCGACAGCCACACTGGAGAATGATGGTGAGATGGAGGGATGAGACCGAGAGGAGAGATGAAACTAAAGAAAGACGTGAGGAGTTGTGAGGTGAGCGTTGCTATCTTCTTCAGGTGATATCACACACAGCTCTCCAGCCAATTGAATCAGTAGGCAAATGGATATCGAGAGGGTGGGACAGAAATCGATTTATTGCGGCTGGGAGATGGAGATTGTTGAACTCGAAGCTCTATCTTGGCCATATGATAGCACTGAAGCAGGGTGTTGATCTCGGATTCCAGTTAGAAGTGGTTAATTATCGGACTCCATTCTATCCAAAAAGCATTAGCACTTACCGCTAAACCCATTTAGCCTCTGTAATGGTAGCAATGCTGACCTCCCTAGGGCTGAGGGATCTAAGAGCATAGTTTTGCTATGAAAATCCTCCTAGTTTATTGAGCAGAAAGCTTCAGTACTGCACCGACTGTAGCCACATGGCAATCCTGAATTAAAACAAATTACAGTATGTGTTTGATTCAAAACGTGGACGATATCCTTGTCCCTGTTTTCACTGGTGAGTGTCAAAGTGTATGAGACACTTTGAAGTATTGGGATGAAAAAAAAGCAGAGTATTTTCTAAATGAAATCTGATATGAAAAATATGCAGGGGACAAATACATCAACAGATATCACTGGAGGACAGCAAGGACGGCAAGCAAACTTGTGACATTTTGAGTTGTAAGTATGACTCCACCGAGGACTGAACCCCTAACCTTCCAATCTCTGGGCAGACACTAACCACAAGGCAACTGTGTTGGTTAAGCCTACTTACTGTATCATATCATTACAATCTATCACATTTGCCAGTGATCCCCGAACCTTGGTGTAGTTATCTGGTTGTTCTGAAGAGAGTCAGGGCTAGGCTAGCTGGTGGCGAGATGAGGCTCTAGTCATTTCCTCTGACCCTCAGGGCCTAGCGATGTTGACCACATGATAGCATTGTAATCCCAAGTCAAAGGCCACCCTAAGCGTTTTCCCTCAGAAAACCCCCCAGTAGAAAACCCCAAACACACAATCTAGAGCCCTCAAACTTAATTCGGGACCTCGAAGCCAGTTCATGCTTTTTTTCATTCTTCCCCTCTAATCAGGGACTGATTTAGACCTGGGACACCAGGTGGGTGCAATTAATTATCAGGTAGAACAGAAAACCAGCAGTAGTCCGGACCTCGTAGGGTAAGAGTTACCCCTGATCTAGAGGCAATGTGATAGCTTGAGGGAGGGGTTTCAGTTAGAACAACCAGTACCACTGGAGATGTTCAGAGGCAAAAATATTCTGTATGTTGTGACTGCAACATTGGCCTTTACACTCAAGAAACCATATTCAGAGGCAGAGTGTGTGTTGGTCAATGCTAAGAGGGACTCTACAACAGGCAGCTACATCGGGAGCTGACAGAGGGGAGGCATTGTCTACGGCAGGGTACCCCAACTGGCGAGCGGGTGATTTTATTTGGCCCCCAAGTTCTAAAAACCCCCACAAAAAATTATGTATTTCATTTTTTTGTTGGACACCAGCAAATCAGCTTCAAGTGATTTTATTTTTGGAAATCAGTTCCAAAGTATTCCCACTCATAAGAGAGATACTGTATATGTGATCGCATACAGATGTAAGGAAGATTTGAAATGACTGTTTTAGTCAAATATTAGATCTGTTTGGACATCTTCCGGCCAATTTGCAGTCTTTTAAATAGTTAATTATGTTCCGGCCCCCTGTCCATCCTCTCAAGAAAATAAATTGGCCCGCCGCTGAACCTAGTTGATGATCCCTGGTCTACGGGCACAGCGTGTTGGCAGGACATCTGGCACCACCTAAATCAATGGAGCAGCACAAATGTCCAGCGACTGATGGACAGGGCACAACCCAAAACGCTGTGAGCCCATCAAAGGAGGCTGAAGTCATCCTCTGCAGAACACTGCCTTTGGTCCAATCTCCCTCCCCTGGGCTGCCCCCCTGTCCTTCTCAACCTCTGATATCACACCTCTGAGACCAAAGGCCCTGTTCAATCTCAAACCGTAACCGGTTCACCCTGAGGATAAACCCAACGATCTGCCCTTGTACTTTGCTGTAGTTTAGAACAACCTTTATAGTGTGAATAATGTTTCTTTAACGAAATGGTCTCAACTTGAAAGAGAGAAGAACAGCAGAGAATAGGACCAGGATGAAATGCATGGCGCGTTATAGCACAGCGATGTATACAGCCGACAATGCATCTTTTCAAGGCAACAACGTTTGCAGAGATTGCATTCACGGTAAACATTGCGCACTTCGGCACAAGTGTCAATTACCTGTTTATAGTGTGCTGCCATATAACACGCCTTGCATTGAATCCTGGCCTAGGTCTTTATGAATCAACAGAAGAGCAACACTCATAAACCACATGCAAAAAATATTGCTCCAACTTTTATTTCGGATAAGACTAATGGAAAACAGACTGAAAGTTGATATTTTCACATTTCCACCTCCGCAGTGTGTTCCTGTTTGAGTCTACAAGTTAACAGTGTATAAAAAAACAAAATCAAAACAGAATAAGGAATTTATACATCAACTGATCAACAGAATTCAATACACTTGACCTTTTTCAAACATTGAGGGTAATACCATGACAAATATAAATATGAACACACAGTGGCCATAACGTCACAGCCCCTCTAAGCAAGAAGAACACAGACAGTAGACATTACTAGAGTAAGGGCATTCTACAAGCGTTTAGAAATACCTTAATCGACAGCACACACTGAAGAGTGGCTTGGAGTAGCAAGCGTGGCGAGCTGAGGAGAAGCCAATAGTCTCCAATAGTCACACATAAAGCGAACATATCAAATAGCCACTCTTCTTTTCTCTGTGTTTGCTTGAGGCGGACGGAGAGAGAAGGATCGGACGCAGATGGTGCTAGAGAAAGAAGAGGGCCAAACGTGGTCCTTGAGCGCAGAGAGAGAAAGCAAGACAAAGTCAGCATCACGGGAAAGACCCCAGCAGGGGGTTAGGGTCTACAGCCTAGGATAACAAGTAGACGTCCATTAGGTAATCATTGCATCCTAGGCCAGGCTGCCAGGTTAGGGGCTGGGGAGAGAGAGGTACTTGGCCGATCAGAAGCCAAGACCCTTCCTTTACTTCCTTCTGATAGGCCGGGCAAAACCAAATAGCTGCATGGGTTGGATTTAGGAGGGCAAGGGTGCACCGAGAGAGGGAGAGACATAATAACGCAGTCTCAGAGAGAAAGTTAAAGAAAGGGATGGTTTGGGAAGCAGCTTGGAGTTCCCCTCCCAGCAGTGCAGTTCAGGGCGAGGTGGGGCGAGGCAGGGTGAGATAGATGGCCTCAGTAAACAGCCCGCGGGTGCTTCATGCAGTAGTGGGCCTCCGATGACGACACGTACGACGACTCCGGAAAAAAGTCCTCGTGGAACTCAGCCAAAAACCTGGGGAGCAGAGAGAGGGATGGAGGGACAGAGAGAGAGAGAGAGAGATATGGAGCAGAGGGCGAGAGGTCAAGAAACATAACAAATGTGACACCATTACAGGGTCTAATTCACCACACTGAGTAAAAGTCTGAAGTGAACTAGCCTTAACACAGCATGGCCATCAACAGACAGCTAGCTAATGCATTTGGAGCAAAGACCACTGTGGAAAATGCACCAAAACGCTGATGTCATTCCCTCGACTACTGTGGATGTCAGTCCCGTGTAGCTCAGTTGGTAGAGCATGGCATTTGCAACGCCAGGGTTGTGGGTTCGATTCCCACGGGGGGCCAGTATGAAAATGTTTTATGCACTCACTAACTGTAAGTCGCTCTGGATAAGAGCGTCTGCTAAATGACTAAAATGTCTAAAATGTAATGGACCAGACTAGTTACTCAGCACTCCCAATCCTGGTGTCTTCCTTCCAACAGGGGGCTTGTCAATGCCCATTCCCCCCTCCAGGCTTGCAGTCAGTCAGTGCTTTTAGTAACTTGCCTTAAATAACCCAATTCGCCAGAGTTGGAGAGGGAAAATCTCCCCGTCTAATCAGTAGGGAAAATAATCCGGAATGTTCTTAGTATCCACTGCTCAGCCAAATCCTCTAAATCTTGCCATCTCATCTTAACTCTACCGGCTCTTCTAATTTGACTGCAAACAAATTATCCTCATCAGAGGGAGAAATTAAGAGGCGCTTTAACCGGCGACAAATTTATCATCATCATCATCGTTGTGGAGCCCCGAACTAGTCCGTATTTATTGGTCGTCCTATCTATTGGTTAGTGCAAATGTAGAGCAAAGGCTATAAACTTGAACCACATTTCTCTGCAGATGTTAGATAAGATATGGACACATTTTTGTGGGAGAGCAGCTGGAAGGACACAGGCATCCTCGTTCTCATACACAATAGGCACTCTCTCTCTCTCCCTCCCGAGTGGTGGAAAAAGTACCCAATTGTCATACTTGAGTAAAAGTAAAGATACCTTAATTGAAAATGACTCAAGTAAAAGTGAAAATCATCCAGTAAAATACTACTTGAGTAAATGACTGAAAGTATTTGGTTTTAAATATACTTTAGTATCAAAAGTAAATGTAATTGCTAAAATATACTTTAGTATCAAAAGTAAAAGTATAAATCATTTTAAATGCCTTCTATTAAGCAAACCAGACGGCACAATTGCCTTGTTTTTTTTCATTTACGGAGAGCCAGGGGAACAATCCAACACTCAGACATAATTTACAAACGAAGCACTTGTGTTTAGTGATTCCACCAGATCAGAGGTAGTAGGGATGACCAGGGATGCTATCTTGATAAGTGTGTGAATTGGACCATTTTCCTGTCCTGCTAAGCATTCAAAATGTAATGAGGACTTTTGGGTGTCAGGGAAAATGTATGGAATATAAAGTACATTATTTTCTTTAGGAATGTAGTGAAGTAAAAGTAGTCAAAAATATAAATAGTAAAGTACAGATACCCCTCCCAAAATACTTAAGCGGTATTTTAAAGTATTTTTACTTAAGTACTTTACACCACTGTCCCTCCCTCTGTATCACAGAAATACACCACACGATTCATGACTCTTCCAGAGATCCGTCCATGTGCCCAATCCCGGCATGCACCTCTCCACTCAGGTTTTTTCCCTTCCTGTATCTCACTAGTCTGAAGAGACCTCCTTTCTAAATATATTATTTTTCTATCCGTAACAGACTAAAATAAATGGTCATGAACAGCTGAAGTTAAATCCCATTGTAGGCAGGCATCAATATATTGCATAAAGCATCATCATTTCTCTCACCTCTCCTGTATTTTCAGATAAGTAGCTAGGTTTCTATCCAATTAGCGACAGATTTTCATGAGAATATTCCAGAATTTGCACAAAGCCAATATGCGCATTTTCCCACCAGTGGTGTTTCCACCAAACTGTCTAGTTGCGGATAAAAATCAGTGCACCAAAATGTAATTTTTCGCTTACGTTTTCATGTATCTAATAAAAATCTGAAGTTCAATGAGTTCAGGAGACGTTCCTGGACTTCCTGACGGGCCGCCCCCAGGTGGTAAGGGTAGGTAACAACACATCTGCCACACTGATCCTCAACACGGGGGCCCCTCAGGGGTGCGTGCTCAGTCCCCTCCTGTACTCTCTGTTCACCCATGACTGCATGGCCAGGCACGACTCCAACACCATCATTAAGTTTGCCAACGACACAACAGTGGTAGGCCTGATCACCGACAACGATGAGACAGCCTATAGGGAGGAGGTCAGAGACCTGGCCGTGTGGTGCCAGGACAACAACCTCTCCCTCAACGTGACCAAGACAAAGGAGATGATTGTGGACTACAGGAAAAAAAAGAGGACTGAGCACGCCCCCATTCTCATCGACGGGGCTGTAGTGGAACAGGTTGAGAGCTTCAAGTTCCTTGGTGTCCACATCACCAACGAACTATCATGGTCCAAACACACCAAGACAGTCGTGAAGAGGGCACGACAAAGCCTATTCCCCCTCAGGAGACGAAAAGATTTGGCATGGGTCCTCAGATCCTCAAAAAATTCTACAGCTGCACCATCGAGAGCATCCTGACTGGTTGCTTCACCGCCTGGTATGGCAACTGCTTGGCCTCCGACCGCAAGGCACTACAGAGGGGCCAAGCTTCCTAACATCCAGGACCTCTATACCAGGCGGTGTCAGAGGAAGGCCCTCAAAATTGTCAAAGACTCCAGCCACCCTAGTCATAGACTGTTCTCTCTGCTACCGCACGGCAAGCGGTACCGGAGTGCCAAGTCTAGGTCCAAAAGACTTCTCAACAGCTTCTACCCCCAAGCCATAAGACTCCTGAACAGCTAATCATGGCTACCCGGATTATTTGCACTGCCCCCCCACCCCATCCTTTTTACGCTGCTGCTACTCTGTTAATTATTTATGCATAGTCACTTTAACTCTACCCACATGTACATATTACTTCAACGATCTCAACTAGCCGGTGCCCCCGCACATTGACTCTGCACCGGTACCCCGCTGTATATATAGCCTCCCTACTGTTATTTTATTTTACTTCTGCTCTTTTTTTCTCAACACTTTTTTTGTTGTTGTTTTATTTTTACTTTTTTTGTTAAAAATAAATGCACTGTTGGTTAAGGGCTGTAAGTAAGCATTTCACTGTAATGTCTGCACCTGTTGTATTCGGCGCATGTGACCAATACAATTTGATTTGATTTGATGTCACCAGAGTAAGACCTTCAATATTCACTGGAAAGTAGCATCAAGCTCATACTGTGCACATTCATCACCCTGTGAAGTTCATCATAGCCTAACAAACTGCATGGTTTCCCGAGTCGTATTGGGAGGACCACACACAATGCCATCGCGTAACTCCAAGTTTACTTCGATATTATGGTTATTATATCAATATATGCGCATAAAGGAGTTTCCACCGCCATTTCTTGCATAATTAATTTTACAGACAAAAAGATTGCACGAGGGGAAGAAGTCCCTAATAGACTATTGAGAAGTACCCAGCTGTGATAAGAAAGAAGTCATATGTCCCTCTGTGTGCAACAGCACAGAGCAGTGGCTGGAGGGGAAATTGCAGGCGTTTGATTAATAAAGGAGAGAGAATAAATCCCCTAGGTTTGGGGCCAGCTGAAGATCGCTGGGCAGGATTTAAAGATTAGAATCGCAGGCTTGTGTAACGCCCACTCATCTCCCTTCACTTTAATGTAGTCTGGCAGTCTCTCACACACACAGACAGATGCAGGTGCGTGCGCACACACGGTCACACACACAGAGGCGCGTGCACAGACACACAAACAGCAAATCAAACCCTCTGCATAAATAACATCTCAAGCCATCATCGTCTGATCACATCCTGTTAGATGATATTATAGTTAAAATAACCGTGGCAGGCAGGGCGAGCCAGCTTACAGGTCAGTGAGCACTTTTTCCACTCAGTGAGCTGCATGAATCTCACACACAGAGAGAGTTGCTACCTAGTAGTTTTACACCACAGCTAACTGCCCCGTTGAATGAGCTAGACTTCAGGTAACGGGGCTAACACTGGATAGGCGGAGAGGATTGTGCGCGTGCGTCAGCAGATCGATGCACACTGCGGACTACACTCCCAGTGCTCCCAACAGGGACCCCCCATCCCTCCCCAAGATATACAAAAAGCCCCATGGGAAAAATCCACCTCTCTATTCTCCACTGCATTGTCCAATTACTTTTTGTATAGGCTAATGTTCATGTTACAGCAGAGGCCCATCAAGCTACTGCATTGTCCAAAAATGTCTGCATGCTAAGCTAATGTTTGTACAACGTCAGAAGCCCATCAAGTGGAAACCACTCACCAGGCTAGCTAAGTGAGTACGTCCAAAGAAATGCTGACGTGGGCATTATCGTGTTGCAGTGATCAAAGGAAGTCTATCATGGAACTGTCGTCGGCACGGCAACTAAATGGCAGCCTGTCTCTTCCTGTGAGGCGGCCGGCCCAATAATACACCAGGCAGTGATTGACTGGGTGATGACGGGCTTCGCCCAGTCAGGGTCACTAATCCTGGAGACTGGCAATTGTGCATCTTCAGTTCCACTGTGAGTTACTGTGGCTTGAGGAGGGGTTATTTAAGAAATAAGCCCCGAGGGGTTGTGGTATATGGAAAATGTATGCACTCACTAACTGTAAGTCGCTCTGCTAAATGACTAAAATGTAAATGTATATGACCAATATACCACGGCTAAGGGCTGTTCTTAGGGACGACGCATCGCAGAGTGCCTGGATACAGCCCTTAGCTGTGGTATATTGGCCATATACCAGAAACCCCCGAGGTGCTTTATTGCTATTATAAACTGGTTAGCAACATAATTAGAACAGTAAATAGTACTTTTTTGTCATACCCGTGGTATACGGTCTGATATACCATGGCTTTCAGCCAATCAGCATTCAGAGCTCAGTTTAGAAAACGTGATGACCTCTATTTAACCAGGAAGGTTATTGAGAAGACCGTTTCTTCTAAAATAACCACCTGACATTGGCTACTATGGCAGCATAAGGAAACGTTCCAGCCCTAGGTCGTATGGAGATGAGCTATGGCAGCCAAAATAGAGATGATTGTAGCCTTGGTTCTAGCCTAGTTATGATGTGTGGCTGATCACTAAAAGAAGAAAACATGGATTCTTCTATAATAAGATGGGAGGTACCGGAGGAAGAGCTCCAGGTGTTTGACCAGGGCCCTCAGGTTCTTCTCTGGGATGTGCATCTTCCCCAGGATCTCTGGCAGCTTCACTGTATGAGGGGAATAAACAAGATTGAAAGAGAATGAGTGACTGGAGGCTACATTGAACTAAACAACAATCCCAGTTTCCCACACACACATACAGAAAGGGCTTTTGCGGATACCTACCGAAGAGGCGTAGGAGGTGCTGTGAGCCGTACAGGTAGGAGGGTGGGGGAGGCTGGTCACTCTGGGGGTAGTTATCAGGGGTCAGCTTCCAGCTCAGGACCTCGTTGAGCTCGTTGTTCCGTCGACTCTCCAGGCCGGAGAAGATGCCGCTGCCCTCCTTACTGGGTGTCAGGGGCAACGGTGAGGATGAGCCGCTGTGGACAGGGGTTTCTGGGAAGTGGACAGGAGGGCAGACAGCGGTTAATCAACTGATGGAGTGGGTGGACAACATTTGCATGGACACTTCAGAAACAACAGACATTTACTGTGTGCTGTAGCACTGAGAAGCTGTGCATAGACAATATCCCATGTGGTTGGGAGAGTACTGTATGACAACAGGGAAGAGTGCCATCTAGTGGATGGATATGGTCATTACAACAGAGGACACGAGTGACACTTCGCATAAAGTAAAGCACTACACGATCAACTACTTATTCTGTGTTTGAGTGTGTGTTCTTGCCACTCACTCTTCTCCAGATTGAGGAAGAACTTGGGCAGCTGGGCTGGCGTGTCGAGGCTGGCGAGGCGGCGTTTGGGCTGGGGTGAGGTCGTAGCGCTGCCGCTGCCCCCCTCGCCCGCCAGCCGCTCGCCCCCCGAGGTGTGGCGCGTGGAGCGCCGCAGGGACTGGGGGGCGTCGGGGTCAGCCATGGAGGCGCAGCGCCGGCGTTTGGGCGTGGAGGCGGCGGCGTTTGCCGTGGTGGTGGAGGCCTCGCTCAGGGCCGGCTGGCTGTCCGTAGACTGGGGGGTGGAGGGGTTGTGGCCCGAGGGGCTGGGGGTGCGCTCACGCAGGGTCCTGGGACAGGAAGGGAGGAAGGAGATGATCAAAGAAAGACCAGAGTTCGGCAATGACCTCCAAAATCACAAAACCAAAGAAACATACAATAATTTCTCACTGACATTTTCACCTTACAAACTGAACAAAGGGCCTGATGTACTTAGTGTCTTCAACAGTGAAACGTTTTCAACTTCATTTTGTTTTGTCTTCCCGCCTGAAAATGACCGATGTTAACTATTCAAGAGGATTGCATACATAGCCTGATGTCTGTCTTACTTGTTGGAGCTGGCTGTGTTGTCCCGGATAGGCAGGAAGAACTTGGAGGAGCTGACTTTCTTGAACTGAGCGTGCTCGTTGGGGTACAGGAGGATCATGGGAAGGGTGAAGTCGAAGGTGATTCTCAGGCCATCCACCATCTCCTTGCAAAGCTCCTCACTGAAACAAAATGGTGACTGTTAGCTTTACTATCACAAAGATAATTTCATCCACGATGACCGTGTTCGAGAGCATCAAATCTGTGATGCATTGTGGGTAATATTGTGACTGACACACTTGATCTACAAATAACATTGTGTAGTTATTTATGATGCAAGGTGATTTGTAGATCAGTCAGTTGGCAGGCGCCTGCAATGTCGGCTGCAATGTCAAACAAAACCATTATGTAGCCCACGGGACTCATGGGAGGTGAAAAGGCTAATGGGAAATTTAGTATTTTTGGGACTCACTTCTTCTCTGGAGGAACATAGTGAGGACTGAGGCTGGTCTGGGCGGTGCTCTGGTGACTTCTGTACCTCTCATTTGCAGAGAAGGCTGCGTTGAAGGCAAAGTGCTTCACGTACGATTCCAAGATGTTCAATATGTTCATCTGGCACGGAAGCTTCACCAACTGGGGCGAAAAAGAACAAAGCCCTTCATGATCACAGCTCATTGGCAGTGAGATGCTGAACTGTCAAAAGCAGGGTTGCATTCAGTAGGGTACATCGAGGCAAAACGTTTTGCAACAGAAAATGACAAATCTGTGTTCCTATTGGACAAGTTCAGTTAGTACCTCCCCGTTTTGATAAGTTTTCTCCCTACTGAACATGACCAATATCTAGGGATTTGGAGCAATAGGAATCGGTATATGGCACTACAATAAAGCGGGTGTTATCTTTGTTTAATGACACACCTTCTTCCTCTTGTTGATGTAGTAGCAGTCATCCTCCAGTTTCTTCTTGAGAACCTCAGGGATGTCTATGTTGATGGTCTTGTCCTCACTCTCCATCTTAGCGTGAGCTTCCTGCTCTTCCTGCTGGAGATAGATGGGCAAACAGTCAGATCCATCCAGGCATTTTGTCAACATTTGTATTTCTGACAATGTCAATAGAACAACCGAGTTGATAGGTTATGTATTGAGAAACATTGTTGTCTGTCATTTTCTAACTCAAAACACATTACCATTTTGTCCAAATCTTCGGAAGAGTCGCTCTCCTCACTTTTCAAAGATTCAGGATCCTCGGAATCGTCCTCGTCACTGTTGTCTGAAGACGAAATCAAACCTGAAAGATACCCCCCGAAAAGTATATGTAATTTTAGCTTGCAAGCCATCTCCAATGAAAAGCCATTCCGATAAACTACTTTGCACTAGCACTAGTTTGAATGTGATGGAACAGTCAAACTCACATGCGTCATCACTCTCTTCCTTCTCTTCAGGAAGTGTCTTCAGAGCTGACTCAACACCGGGTAGACGACGACGTCTCTTCCCCCATCCCTTTCTCCTCCTGTGTGTTGGAGTGGACACAGTTAGACACGACACATTCTGCAGTCACGCCTAATGCTTGCTTTTCCGATCTTCTCCAATGGAGTCAAACTTACATGCGAGCCACAGCTTTACGAGCCAGTTTACGTTGTAATTTGCGATTTTCGTCAGTTTCCCTGAGCACATGGTCCTCTGCAGCCAATCGATCCCAACTGTAACACAAAGCAACAGATGATGAATCCCACCCCTTCCAATTCAAGCTGCATGCAGTCGACATGACAGTATTGTGTAGGTGATATCAAGGACAAAGCTCCACTGAAGGTTGCTATCCACACTCAATGATTTCCACCATATAGATCGTTATCAATAAAATGTTGATTTGGTGCTGGGGGGCAAGGAGACCCCCAGCTCCACTAAAACCATTTTGCTGCTCGACAGGCAGAGCCCACAAAGGATGGGAAATTAACTTAAACCACTCATAGATACAGGGAATGGTGCATTTGTTTTGTTTATGGGGGAGGGGTAACCCTCCCATCCCATCCACCCCTCCCCTGCACCACCCCCCAGGAAATCAGTGAGAACCTTCCTACCTGTCCCACCCATCCTCCTCAGTACCCGAGATGCCCAGCCCCCCTTCTTCAAACGCACCACCCCAGACTGTGTCTTGTGTGTGAGTTTACCTTCTGTTCCAACCATTGAAGTGAATCAGGTATTCTGGGACTCGCTTTCCACGTTCATCTTTGCCAATTACAACATCAACGACCTAAAACGTACAATTCCAGAAATTAACGTTAGTTAGCGGTAGCCGACTAAACTCAAGTTAGCGTGTAACACAGCCAGCAGGCAAATGTTTATTACCACATCGAGACAGGTAACAATACGTTAATTAGCTAACGTTACATTACTAATTGGCACTAGCTAGCTAACGTTATGTAAACAACGGGTTGGCTGATTATAATTTGTTGCCCTGGCCTTGCACAGTTGCTAGCTAACGTTAACTCATGCTACCTATTTTAATTCACCGTTAGTGTTTAACGTTAACGCTAGCTAGTTTAACGTTACTTCCAACGTAGCAGACAGTTGTTGTTTTATGACAGTTAGCTAAATGTAGCAGCTAACGAGCTAGCTAAGAAACGATACCCGAGCTAACTTGGCTACAACATGTGCAGAGATTAGCAACATATAACACGGCTGCAGCCATTATTGATGGCCTCATCTTCATAAACCTGCCACAGTGATAACGTTACGTTAGCCTAATAGCAAACGTTAGTCTTTTAGGAGTTAACTAGCATGTCAACCTCGGGCGGGCCTTCGGGTCTATCCGGGTAAATCAAATAAAAATGTCTAATTTAGCTACAGTATTGAATAAAGCCATAAAAACTGGCAATCCAAATGTTTGGGAATTTCATGCAGTTTCAGCCTTATGACCGCAAACAAACTCTTGCTAAACAACAAGCCATTTACCTTAGCATCATAGAGTACTTTAGCCTTTGTAGGGTCAGGTTCGAAACAGAGGACTTTTTCTCCTTTGTGGAATTTAAATTTCATTCCCCGGGAGTTCATTTGTTCGTCATAGCGAGCAGGAGAGGAGGCATCTGGACCCCCCGCTCCTTAACCCTTTCCCTGCCGGGCTGTATCCAAAGGGGTCTCTGAAAAAAAATATGGAGATGGCGCTAGGACACAACTCATCAAACGAATGCGTAATAGGGAATTTCTACTTTGGTCCTTCGTGGACGCCGTAGAAATAAACAGTACAGGAATTGACCAGCAGAGAGCGCCCGTTATTCAAAGATGATCCCACTAATATTTCTGTGCCAGGGTGTTGAGGTGACATGTAGCCCCTCCTATAATAAATCAAAAGTGTGTCCATGTAGCTAATAAATAACGCAACAAAGGATAAGCAGTAACCATTAAGAGTTGTGTCAACAAAAACAAGCTTTTTCCAACCCGAGCTTGTTTAAAACCAAGGAATATCTGTTTACATCACCCTGAGGAAGGCACAGTGATGCCGAATGGTTGGTGTTTTACCCAATAAATTACTGGGAGTTTATGTATATAGAGTGTGCGACTCTCTTTATTTATTTTGTATATCTTACAGTTTATTTGCCATTAGTCAGCACCGCTACACTAAATAATTTTCTCTGGGTGTGCGCCAGCTCGTGCTTTTTATTACATATTGCAAACAAAAACAGTTTGAAAAGGTTCAGATTGTGAATGTTTACTCAGCTTAATGAGGCTAATTCTTTTCTAAATTTGGAGACTGCACTGGCACCATTTCCGTTTTCAGATGAGAAAACAGAGAGCAAGAGAGTGTGAGAAAGAGAGAGAGAGAGACTGAAGGAAATCCCTCTTTTTATAGCCTAGATGCATTTGTGTGTATGATGCCTTGTATGCTAAACCGCTTATCAGTGCCAGTGTGTGCTTTTTTCCATTCTGACTGAAACCATCAGGCTATCTCTGCTGTCATATCTGTCACCACACCGATGTGTGACATGAATAAGACCTCCATTCACAGTGCAATTCTAATGAGTGACACATTTAGCTCAGTCAACTCACAAGGTCATGATTGTATGTCATAGCCTACTTCATTAGCCTAACACACTACATTTGTTTACTGTTGGCCAGAGTAGGTTACTGATGAAGTAGGCTACCTGTTTCTTGTCATATGGCTAGACAAGAGACAGAGTTCGCCAAGTATAATGAATTAGAGCAGAACAGTTACTTTGTTAAACATCTTTACTCTTCCTATAACAGCCAATTGGACTGCTATTATCTGTAAACACATTCTTATACAAGTTTTTTCTGTCATATTTGGTTTCTAGTGGCTGATACCCACTAAAGTATATTAGAAACCATTCTACGTGGTCCCTTCCCAGCACCCCTCCCAGCCTAATTTAACCCCTGCAGACTGTTTTACCCCCATTCCTCTATTAATAAAATATGTGGCTTTTAACCCTATCAGTCCCGAGACCCCAGCAAAAATCGGCTTTTCATTTATCTGACTTTCATTTATCTGCATGTCCAGCCCTTATATTTAGCCTCACAATGAAGTGTTTTACCATTTTATTTTCAGGACGAACAGGGCTACAAGTAGATCACAAAGGAATTTGACATAAACAGTTGCGTTCATGAGTTTTATTGACAAATGTCAAAAAATTTAATAAACGCTCAGCCTCAGCAAAAACCTGATAAAAATTAATTTATATGAATGCTGTAAGTACAGAAATGGTTTGCTCAGTGGGAAATGAATATCCAACTAGTCAGTGACAGCTGTTTGGAGTTTGTGACCGCAACTATGCGAGCTTATTACAGTATTATAGACACTGTCCTGGGATTTCCTATGATCGTCTATGTAGAAGAACCCCTTACCTTCTAATGATTATTGTGTAGGTTGTGAGCGTCATAGAGTTACATGTCTGTGTTTGTGAGAGTCTCAGCTTTTCATATATAGCTTTTAATAGTTTGTAGCTCAAATCATTTGGACTCTACAGACGTTTTTGTAAAAAGACCTGGCTCAGGGCCCCATCGGGATCCGCCCTTGTCTCACAAACACCACTCTAGCTCAGCCCCCATTAATCACACAGACTAATGGTTGGTATCTATGGATCCAGAAGAAATAGGCGGATCTAATGTTACAACGGTGTTTAGAAGGGGTTAGAAGTCCACGGTGGGACTCATTGGGTTAACATGGGGGAGCTCACATGTGTGGTGATAATTTATACCTCTGGTACACACCAGCCATATAGTCATATGCTGCATGTGTTTGTGTCTGATTTCAGTGCTGGGGCCCCTTTTACAACCCCTGCAGCCGTGAGGTAGAGCAGCGATAGATTGCTTCTCTCTGACTTCCTCTCTAACTCCTTCTCAACAATCTCTATCCCTCTATCTACACTACTGCGCGTTTACCATTGATGAGAAGGGATGGATAATTGCCTTGCTTGTGTGTGTGTTTGCGTGAGTGTGCGTACGTGCCTTTCTGCGTACGTGCATGCGTATGCGTTTATGCATGTGTATGTGTGTGTGAAGGTATGGGAAAAATGGTGCACCATGGGAGACTGGAGGAGGGGGGTGCCCTGATAAAGCTGCTTATGAAGCTGCACTGCATGACACTGATAACGGCTCAGTCAGATTTGACCAGCCTAAAAACAGACGGGGGAACGGAGGAGATAGAGAGAGAGTGATAGAAAGAGGAAGACACCTTTGAAATGTCCATTTAGAATGTAAACACTAGTAGAGTTGAGTTGTAAGGAAGAGCCAAGTCTGAGCTCATTCTGGCCAAACCTGTGCTGCATAGCAGCTAACCCATATATTGCAACATTGTGTCTTTCTCACAACTTCTGAGAAACTCGTGGTGCAGAGAGCAAGATAATCATACCATAATATTTATTTTAAGAGTAAGACACAAGCGCCATGTGCCCCAATGTAATGCAAACATGTGAATTATAGCAGGATAGACTAGGATTAATCCTCATTTATGGATTATGGTGTTAGGTCTTTATGCCATCGTCCAGCTTTAGTTGTGCTTTATTTAAACAAAGTGTTGAAAGTTAGGCTATGCAGCTATAGGCCTATACATCACATAGGCCCAACATATGTAGGCTATACATTTCATGTATGATACAAACTTGAAAGATGCAGGTAAAGACCTGGGGAAGACACTTTTATGCACTGGGTTTGGTCATTGGAACAACATGAGTGCGCAGTCATAACGGCCACAAGAGCACATTGGACGGATTGGAGGAGCGGCGGTGAGGGTCATCAGTTGCGAAACTTCTCCCATCCTGCCGTCCGCTCTGACTCCAGTTTGGGAATGAGCTGAGCTGCGTGCAGAAGAGCACTGCACAGATAATTGGATACATTTGCACGCTCTCTCTCGGTTTTTCTGAACCAAGGCATTCTGACGATGACAGCATAAAACACGTAGCCCATGGCGCTACGCTGACCAATGGTTCACTGTAGGAGTATATTGATGGGACTTATATCGTGGTTTGGTTCTTTATGGCACTTAAACTAAACTTCTGAGAAAAGTGTTTAAAAAAACGCTTCTGCGTTTGTGCAGAGTGGAGATAGAGATGTCATCTGGTCAAGGAATACTGAACGTCTTCTCCTGCTCCAATCCAGGTTCCAAAGCCATCTCCAAAAGGAAGTTGCGACAAACTCGGAGCCTGGACCCTGATATTATAAGGAAATGTGGCACCGAGATAGATCGAACCCATGGGGACCGCTTGGGGTTACCGGGTTTGAGCGTTGAGGACGCAGGTGCGTTTTCATCCTCGCCAAGCTCCCCTGAGCACCCGGTTGCGTTGAAATCAGATCCCCGTTCCAGAAATCTCAGGGTAAAACAACCCCTCTCGTCTTCATCTGGTCCCTCCACACCCTCGGACCTCTCCCCGATATCACATTTTCACTTTGACTATGACGTTACTGTGAGGGGCGCAAAGCGGAATACCGCGTGGGATTTACCGTTTCTGGTGAGGAGCCCCAGCGTCACTCCAACTGGGAGCACGAACACATTATTCTCACCGCGGAGATGGCTTCAGAAGAAGCAGCAACAGTCCAGTTCTCACGCCTATATCGTTTGGAAGTCGGAGGTAAATATGATGATGCGTGCACTCCACGCAGTACAAAATAAGACTTCATGGTATTCAAGAGGAATGCCATAATAACAACCTACTTTTCTCTTTGAGCAATTACAGTGCCTTCAGAAAGTATTTACACCCCTTGACTTTTCCTGCATTTAGTTGTGTTACAGCCTGAATTTAACATTGATTACATTTAGATTTTGTGTCACTGACCTACACACAATACCGCGAATTAGGTTTTCAGAAATGTTTACAAATTAAATAAAAATGAAAAGCTGAAATGTCTTGAGTCAATAAGTATTCAATACCTTTGTTATGGCAAGCCTAAATAAGTTCAGGAGTAAATTTTTTCTTAACAAGTCACATAATAGGTTTCATGGAAATAATAGTGTTCAACATGATTTTCTAATGACTACCACATATCTGTACCCCACACATACAATTATCTGTAAGGTCCCTCAGTCAAGTAGTGAATTTCAAACACAGATTCAACCTCAAAGATCAGGGAGGTTTTCCAATGGCTCCCAAAGAATGCCCCGTTTTGGTAGATGGGTAAAAAGGTGAATATCCCTTTGAGCATGGTGAAGTTATCAATTACACTTTGGATGGTGTATCAATACACCCAGTCACTACAAAGATTCAGGCATCCTTCCTAACTCAATTGCCGGAGAGGAAGGAAACCGCTCAGGGATTTCACCATAAGGCCAATGGTGACAGTTACAAAGTTTAATGGCTTTGATAGGAGAAAACTGAGGGTGGATCAACAACATTGTAGTCATTCCACAATACTAACCTAAATGACAGAGTGAAAAGAAGGAAGCCTGTACAGAATACAAATATTCGAAAACAAGTATCCTGATTGCAATAAGGCACTAAAATAAAACTGCAATACAATGTGTTAGGTTTTGGGCAAAGAGTACCACTCTTCATATTTTTAAGCATGGCGGTGGCCGCATCATGTTATGGAGATGCTTGTCAAGGGAGTTTTTTAGGATAAAAAGAAACGGAATAGACACTGGGAGACAAATTCACCTTTCATCAGGACAATAACCTAAAACACAAGGCCAAACATACACTCGAGTTGCTTACCAAGACAACATTGAATGTTCCTAAGTGGCCTAGTTAGTTTAGACTTAAATCGACTTGAAAAT